TCAGCTGAAGGAAAAAAACCTCAAGAGGGCTGTAAATTCCCATTGGAAGTGTCCTTTGATGTTGAAATAGCTTAGATTGATGGGAAGAGGGAATTTGGGGGGCAGTTCTTTCTATTCTTAAATTTAACCAATCCTTTTCTAGAACCAACTAAACCAGTAGTTTTTGCTGCACTTTATGACTGTGGGACACACCCTGTCCTAGGTGTGTTCTCAGTCTCTTGTGGAGGAAACCTTTCCCTCTTGATTTCTTTCCTTCTCTCTGGATTCACACAGGCAGCCTTATAACTACCGATGTCAGTTCCCAACTAGACTTTAATTCTCCCCACCCCTCCTCTGGGAAGCTCAGAACAACATTGGTGGATTCCCAAGTAGCCGCATCTCAGGCTCCAGCCTTTTTTAAGCATTTCTTAGAAATTTCTTCCTTAAAGAAGTGATAAATCCCCATTATTCATTACAATGTTCAAAAAGCAATTTATTCCCTTTCTTGTTTTGTTTTACCTGCTTCATTAGAAGAAACACGATTTAGAAGAGAGTGCTCTGAAACGTTTCTATAATCCCTGTCCAAAAATGCCTCCAGGGCTCGAGATGACTTTCGAAACGAAAGAGGAAATGGTGCAGGCGATGGCTCTCCTTGAAAACCCTTTCTGCTGAGCTCGGAAGGGTCTCGCGATCATGTCTTCTCTGCTCTGCCTCCCTTGTGCTTGGCTCCCTTCTGCTGATTACCATCAGCACATGCAAGATACCATCAGAGGTGATCGGACACATGCTGTACTTCCTGCTACTTCCTGTAGCTAATTGAGATGTTCCAAACGAAGGGCAGGGCGGGAGGGGGGCTGCTCATGACTCAAGACAGCTTCCCAGAGGCAGCCGATTGGCCGGTGTGTGGTCAGAAAGCAGGACTTTGGCCTCATCCAGAATAGCTCTTGCTATGTTCTTTGGGAGCATTGTTGTTGTTTAGTCTTTAAGTCGTGTCCGACTCTTCATGATCCCATGGGACCAGAGCACGCCAGGCCCTCCTGTCTTCCACTGCCTCCCGGAGTTGGGTCAGATTCATGTCTGTCACTTTGATGACACTGTCCAACCGTCTCGTGCTCTGTCGTCCCCTTCTCTTGCCTTCATGCTTTCCCAACATCAGGGTCTTGTCCAGGGAGTCTTATCTTCTCGTGAGAGGGCCAAAGTATTGGAGCCTCAGCTTCAGGATCTGTCCCTTCCAGTGAGCACTCAGGGAGCAGAGTCCTACCTAAAACCACATGGTGACCTTTCAGATTTGAATCCTAGTATTGGAAATTCATTTGTTTGCTTGTTAGCCTCTTTCTGTTGTTGTTGTTGTTGCGTTCTGTCAAGCTGGAACCAACTTCTAGCAACACAAGAAGAGTTTTCAGGGTAAAAGGTGTGGTTTTACCAGTTCCACACCCCCAAGTGAGCTTCCATGGCTGAGCAGGGATTCAAACCCAGGCCTCCTGGTTCCTCGTCTGTCATTCTGTCCACTATGCCACACTGGGTATAGCCTATTTCTATGGTTCAAGAAAATTAAAATGGAGCCCTCAATCAAAGAGGGGGGGAACCCTACAATATGATCATGAAACCTTAACTCAAGAGCCAGTGGATAGATAGAGTGGAAGACTGGACTCAGAAGATGTGGGTTCAAATCCCCACTTGGCCAAAGAAATTCCCTGAATATCTTACATACCGCAAGAAAGTCTGTTAGGGTCACTACAAGTTTGATGAGACATGATGGCACATTCCAGAGGAAGGAAGGAATCCTGAGTTGCTTCGGTGAATGAATAGCTAAGTTCTAGTTCGGTGCTGAAATGAAGAGCCACTGGTCTCCCAAAGACCTCGGATGGAAACGTGGGGCCGGTGGCTTGAGAGGACATTTATCCTGCCCTTTGTATTCTATGGGAACCCCCCTGGGGCCATGCCCTGTGCCGATGGGGGAAGGAACAGCAGATGTAACTCACGAACGTACGGAGCGTGTTGCAATCAAAATTCGGAAAATTCGCTTCTTGCTGCTGCCGAGCCCAGAGTGGGTTTTGCTCTGGTTCAGCTCTGTGTTCCTCACGTTCCTGGAAAACAGCCCGTTGTCTTCCCCTGTGTCTCATCCTTCCAGCCTCATGCGCCTGCCCGCCCCTGCACGGAAAGCCATCCTCCCCCACGGCCGTTCTGGATCCAAGCTCGCTCTGCCCCGGTTGCTTGTGCGCAACTCCACGAAACGAGAACTGGATGAACACCAAGGGAGGAGGAGTTGGCCGGCCTCCACTTTACGAAACACCTGCAGAGCAAACAGCTGGGAGCAGCTGGAACCCCGGAGCCTTTTCCGTCACCGCCCCGTCTCCTGCTGAGCCGACCCGGGGCTTTCGATGCGAAGGGCTCCGTGTGGCCTAGGAGAGGAAGTTAGGACTCATCTGGGTTTGCTGAGCTCAGCAACCTCATTCTGCTGGAAACCAGAACTTGCAGAGCCCACGGAACCGACGCCGGGTTTATTGGACTCTACGGGCCGTTTTAGTTGAGATTGTCCTTCCCTTCCCGTCCTTCTCCCTCAAGGTTTTTGCCGCCATCTGGAGCCCCTGCAGCCATGTCAGTCTTCCTTCCTTGTCCCCTGTGTCATTTACTGAGTCAATTGGAAGTTAAAAAAAAACAACAACTCTTGAGACGTGGGAAGTTTGTTCTGGATTCCGGCTGGCCCAACACCAAACCGGGCTGTGGAGGCCCCATCACCGCCACCAGCCTTAGCGTTTCTGCTCTTGGAAGCCAGCGGGCGGGTTGTGTTGGGTGCTCGGCAAAAGAAGGTGATTTCCATCGGAGGCCAAAGAAAGCAGCAGGTAAAGGTGGGGTGAGTTCTCCCCTTAGGAGCAATGAAGGGATGAGAGAAACAGCAGGCAAGTTCTCCTGCCATGATGCTTTTGTGTTGCTTTCCAGCAGTAGAAGGTGCACGGGGGCCCATCATGTTGACAGCCGGTCACATGACATTCCCCAGTTGTTGTTGTTGTTGTTTGCACCAAGTCCTTGCAGTGCAGGCCACTCAGTTCCAAGAAGCCCTGTTGGTGTGAACACCAGAGGCATTCAAGAGAAAACTGGACAAATGTCTGCCTGATCTGCTTTTCATTTGGATTCCTGCCTTGAGCCAGTGTGTGTGTGTGTGTGGGGGGGCGTCCAACTTTGTGGATTCTCTGTTTGTGTTCACCTCTGTTCAAGCCCCGTGTCTGGAAAGTGGTGGTTTCAGCTCTCCAGCCACCCTTTGCTGTGGCCTCCTATAACATCCCAACCTTCATATCCAAAATGTTTTTGCCCGTCCTGTTTGGTTCTGAACAAGCCATTCTGAATGGATCTGATCCTGCCCAGGTTTCATGTTCTACTGCTGTTGTTCCTTCTCAGCTTATCTGCTTACCTGGTGGTAATGGATGGGACATGAGCTAGCAAAGTCACATTGGATCGCAGTCCACAGGTATTGTTGTGCTGGCAGAGGGAGATGAACAGGTTGTAATCTCATCAGGAACAGAAAGCCACTCTTCCCAGGGACTTGCAGGAAGTCATGGGGAGGGAGCCAGTTTGAAACCAGCTGGCCTTTGTACCAGCTCACCCGCTGTCTTCACTCCTGGGTTAGGATGAGGGTTGTTGACCGATGCCTTTCTCGTTTGTGGGCCGGGTGGCAAGGACCCTGGGGAAAAAATGCTGCTTCTCGCTCAGCAAGGAGAGAGTAAGGGATTTCATGGCACTGTCAGCAACCCAAATGAACAATGCGAGAACTTTGGGGGTAAATTAAGGAAAAATTCACAAATAAAGCTTCAATGCAGAGGGTGCTAGTTTGCTGCTGCTTTCCTGCAGGAACTCTTCAAGATTAGAAATATCAGGTGGGATGTTCACCGCTTTTTTAACCTGTCATTTTGTTTGCAGACACACACAGTCTTGAACAGAAAGGAGGCTTCTTTTTCACAGCCATGTTCCTCACAAATTACAGAGGCCTTGATGAGAAATATATATATTTCTGTTTATTTTGCTTTGGGGGCAAAGAACCTTACAGGGCCTGAGACATTCCTCACCAGCACAGTGTCTCACCAAGTCAAGCACAGCCTAAAAATCAACAAGGAAAAAAGAATTTAGTGAATTTTGCTTTGCGCCCCTTGTTAGCACGCTCCTCACATCCTGGGCAAAGGTTTAATATTGCAGTATATATATAAATGTGTATAATTCTTATGCTCTGCGCAACCATTATCCCTAATCGGAACGTGAAATTCTCTCAGCTTTGATTTCACAGCATTTTCTCGGCATCCGGCCGATGCCTGTGTCCCGTCTATTATCTCCCTCAGGTTGCAAGACTGACTTCGCTTCCCATATGGGAAGTTTCACACCTTTTCTGTAAACAGTGCATTTATTTACACATTGTTCTCATGTTGTTGATTGGAATTCGTGAATGCTCACAGAGAAATAAATGCATTTGTCTCAAAGATGTCACCATATTTTTCACTGTTTTTTTTTTTTGCTGAAGTAGCTGTTCTGGGAAAGAGACTTCCTCAGGGGCGATGCACCACCATCTAAGAATGCCTCAGCTCCTGTGGAGCTGAACCTGACCCTTCTTCAAATGCCCATAATAAGCTCGGCCCTGCCCCGAGGTAGATCCCCACATTTCCCGTTCCTGCTTGGACTTCCCCGGCTGGTCGTTGGGGCAAAGGCCGGCTCCGGCTTTTCTCTGAGATGAGGTTTGCTGTCCCTTTCGTTCTATCCATCCTTTCTCCCCTTAGAGGGGACCCAAAGTGGGTTACGACATTCTCAAAAGACAAAAGAATTAGACAGCAAAAAAATACAAGCCATTAGAATATTGGAAAAGCACAAGACATTAGAATATGCAAAGCCACTAAAATATATTGTGTTTTAAAATGACAGAATAAAAGCTGCTGAAAAGCCGGTCGCCCTCCGGGGGCCGCGTTTGCCAAAGACGTCCCTTCTCTGACCAAGACTTCTCGCCTTCCTCTCTCCTGTCTCATTTTGGTTTTTTTGAACAGTAAAGCCGGACCCTCCAGAGAACGTGGTCGCCAAGCCGGTGCCCAACAACGCCCGGAGGCTGCTGGTGTCCTGGCAGTATCCGTCCTCGTGGCCCGACCCAGACTCCTTCCCGCTCAAGTTCTTCTTGAGGTACCGGCCGCTCATCATTGACCAATGGCAGCATGTGAGTGGCCACATCGGTTTGCGTGCATGTGTGTGTGTGTGTGTGTGGTTGTATGGGGTTAGAGACGGGGGGGGTGAGGGTTTGTTCTCCAGGCAGGGGCTGAACCTGTTCAGGCCCAGTTGGGCCAACCCTTCCTCCTGAGCAGACCCGGTTTGTCCACTGTAGCCGTTTGGCAACTCGGCCCAAAGTCTGGCCATTGAAAAGGGGCCCCCTTGGCCAATGCCTCCCAATCTCCCCCCCCCATCCTTTTCCGAGGAGTGACAAGAGCATCCCCCATCGGGTCGAAGGAGGCGACAGGACTTTCCATCATTTTGCCTCCTTGATCGCTTGGTGGGGCTCTAATTGTTTGACCTGTATTTAGCTAGCGTCTTAGCATCTCTGAAGGAGGAGGGGTGATTTTGAATGTTTTTTTTTTTTAAAAATAAAAAATAAAAACATTCAGCTGCCATTAAAAGTCAGATTTGGTGCCCAGGAAAGCTTTCTGCAATTCCCCAGGACAGAATGGCAGTGTTTGTCCAGGTATTAGAGGCAACAGGGGACGTGGCCTGAATGTGATGCTCCGGGGAGCGTCCCGGTGGGGGGGGGAGAGAACTGGGAAGAGCCAGCTGTATCGGATGGTCCGGCGTGGTCCAGCTCTCCGGATGCTCCTTGTTGCATACGGTTCTCCAGGATTGAGCGTTGAGTGCTCCAAAGCAGCAGGGATGAACCCTACTTAAAAGAGATGTCATAATTTATTTATTTTGGTGTGTGTGTGTGGGGGGGGTTATATTATTTCCCTAGCTTCACCTAGGCAGTGTGACCCATGAGGGATTCTGGGAGTTGTAGTACAAAAAAAAACATGTTTCCAAGCTCGATCCGGAAAATGCCAGAAGCAGGGGAAAGAGGCCTCTTTAATCAGCCTTTTAGGGTGCATGGTTGAGTCTGCACACCCAAAGCTAAAAGAGGTTGGCCCTCACACCTTTCCGTGGAGAGGCCTGGGAATCCTGCAGGGGCCTGGGGACTGCGAAGAGTCACAGCGCATTGACACAAACCTTCAAATCCTGGGTTTCCTCTGCTGTTGGGAAAAGGGGAGGCATAAGCACCAGGAGAGTTAAATAGCACTTGAATTGCTCTATATTTGCAGTATAGACAATGCCCTTGGATCGACATTGGCTCTCGGTTAAACAGCTTGCAGGGAAGCGCCTGTTTGATTGCCGTCTTTCTTTCAGACCGCAAAACCCGAGGCGTGCGAAGCTGCGCCGCCCACATCCTCTCCTCCCGCCTGGGCTTTGAACTCCCATTTCGCCTTCAAAAAACGCTCTCCTGGAGCCGCTCCCTCACGCGCCGTCTGAAATGGGGGCTATTTTCCATACATATGTTCAACATAAAACTTGCCCGGCAAGACGTAAAATGTGTTTAAAGTGTAAATGTCACAGCATTTATGTGCTCTCTGGTGCAATAGATTATGAACAGGAGATAAACCATCTTCTGTCATAACACCCCATTCTGTCAGGGACATGGAAATTGCTTCTCTGTTATCATATTTCTTCTTGATTATTGCTTTCTTTGAGGAGTGGGGTGGGCGGAGGAGAGGGACTCAGGGGCAGCTCGAACAGAACAAAACATCCGCGGAGGCCCCGAGGGAAGGTGAACTGGACGACGAGGGGCACCTCCAGGATGGAGATTACAGGGGCCAGACAAAAGTTGCACATTCACACACACACAAAGAGAGGGGCTGCCACAACTCATGAAAGGGTAGGTGCGCACCTAGAAGCACGCATGAGAAATAACGAGCAGCACCGTTACCTGTAATGAGGGAATGGCCAGCATCCTGCTCAGGGTTGAGGTGCGCCGAAATCCAGTTGTGGGAGCTGCTGTGGCCCCGTGGCAAGGAGCAGCCGATGTGCCTGGTTGCATGTGACCCAAGCCACATCAGCTCACTGGGGCCGCACCTGCAGGCGTCGCTTTGGATATACGTAAATATGGAACAGGATCCTACCCGTTTCTCTCCTTGTTTGTCTGTTTGTAGTAAGAGCTTAGCAAAGTGACATTTTGCAAAAGGAACAGGAGGGGAGGAAAGGGGGGGAAAGGTACCCCCTTAGGAGTTTAACCTTTTAGTCTTCCTGGCGACTTTAGACAGGCTGGCCCAAAAAAGCTCTGATGAAGGTGTGACTTTCCTAAAAGCTTCTCAAGCATCTCTTGCCACCCCACCCCACACTCTACCCACAGGGATTTTTCAACCTCTCGGTGACCCTCCCTGGGGCAGATCCTGACGCACAAATGAAGGCGCTGCGGATCTTAAGCTCTGTTTTTCAAACTACCCATCTCCTTTCAACACCGATGGAGTTAGGGGAACGGGATCCCCCCCATATAGTTCAAAATCAGAGGATAAATCCTATGCCCCCCCCCAAAAAAAAACATAACTACAAAACAGAAACGGTTGATTCTGGGAGGCCAGAGGCTCAGTATTTATTGAATACTTAACTAGTGAATGTTTATTTATTTATTGGAATATTTGTTTGTTTGTTTATTTATTTGAAAACATCTGTGCATAACCAAAACAGTGCAGATTGGACCTGTTCAGTTCAAGGGAGAAGTGCAGCTCCTGGCTCTTAACGTGTAGAAATGGGGTGGGCGCGCGGCCTTTTTGAGGACGTGGGACCTTTTGG